GGCTACCGCGTAAGAGTCCCCCACCGTGTCCGGCTAGCCGGGCAGCCCCTGTGCAGCCTGCAGGAGCGTGCTACTGCCCTTGCCCCACCTCTGCTCCTGGGAGGCGGTGGCACAGGGTGGTGGGTGACAGCGCTCCATCCCTGCCTGCCCACCCAGCCGCGCGTACCCCCTCATGCCTTCCCAAGTATCCCCGGTTGACAACCCCCATTTTAAACTATATTTCTTGTTCTAATTCTTCCAGGCCAAGAATCTGAGCCTATCTTCAGCCACCCCAATCTAATAGATGAGAATAAACCAACAGAGACGCTTAATGGTTTCACTGGCCTGTCCCTAGTACAGGACAACAAGCTGTATATTTTTTACTTCTTTAATTTTCTTCTAGCACACATTTGAAAAACCTACCCTCATTCTTTTTTTAAAATAAATGTGTTGAACCTTTTAAATTAAATTTACTTTACCAGGTTTGCTCCTGCTGTCCTTTGAGATTTATGTACTAATTAAATATATTAAAAAAAAAATATATATATATATATTTTTGTCAGGAGAAGTTTATTTTACCATTTCTTGTGCAACATCATCAGGAGTTTCCTTCTCCAGATCAAAAGTAAACTCAATGGCTCCATTATCTTTGGGTTTTCCTTTCAGTTTCTTAGGATCTTCTACCCAGAGTCTTAAGGCAATAGAGGATTTCCTACCATGGTCTTCTTCTGCAAGTTCCACTCTTACCCCTGTATCTTCAGCAAAAAAGGCATGGCTTAATAAGTCTTTAATTTCATATCTGCAACAAAAGGATATCCAAAAAGAATATTAAATACTGCATACTTTAAACACCTCCAGCTAAACACCTGTGACAAAGGAAGGACACTACCCACACAAGATTATTAGCAACAGCAACTCTTGAAAACAGCCATAGGACTCCCGTACTCTTAGTAACTCTTATGCATTCACTCAAGAGCTCAAAAAAGTACATGGGAGCAAAGATGCAGTTTCTGCCCAAATTACCTTTATATCTGGAGTTTCAAATCAATACAGGTGAGTGGGAATTCCCACTAGGAATGTTCCTCAAGTATCTGGTTTGAGAAGAGGGTATCAAGTCCCAAAGGACTCTTTAATCTAGTGGAGACAGGTGCAACAAGATCTAGCTGAAGCTACAAATAAACCATTGTTTCTTTTTCAAAAAATAGTGAGGCTAATTTATCACTGAAGCAACTAAAGGGACACAGGACAATCTCCATCATGAGAAGTATTCAAATGACAACGTGAATAATAATAATTTACAATCCAGCATGAGTGACTGGTGCCTCCTGAATCTGGGGGGGCACCCGCAGAAGTCACTGGCAGTGGTGGTCTTGTCAGGGGGGGCACCAGCCCTGCCAACAGCGTCAGTACTAGCTGTCGGGGGGGGGGAGGGGGACGGACAACGGACGACACCGGCCCCATTGAGAGGGGCACGTACACCCCCTACCAGTCACCTATGTACTCCAGTATCATCCCCAAGTTACTGTGCTTACTGGAATTTTACTGGGTGAGATTGTATGTACTATATTACAATGGAAGTCAAATCAGAGTTAGATGTTTTCTGTCCTCAAAAAGCTCTGAGATTGAAAGTTTGAAACAAACCTTTCTTCTTTATTTTTGCAAATACACTCTCCAATTATCTCCTTAATTTCAGGATCAGTTACTTTTTCAAAACTTGCTGGCTTGATACCCTAAAGGAAAAAAAAGGAACACACACAATTTAAGACAATGCAATTTAAAACTCCTACAAACTTCCTACATAATTTACTATGCCATAAAGTCAAACCCCAAGGTAACCACTTCTTTCAGTTTTAAGTGTTTATTGAGTATTTAAAGGTATAGAATTTTTTATTAATATTGTACTTTGAAGTAAACCGATTATCGTTTGTGCATTCCACTCTGCAATTCATCATGAAAAATCCCCCTGGTATTTACTATGAACATTTGGCAAATGTGCTTTTATACCACTGTGGACTTTGCAGCCAACATCCAAGGAACAAGAATCTAAATTCTCAAAATGTTTTTAACCTGAGTTGATTCCATTTTAATTTAAGAATTTAAATACCATTTTAATTTAAGAATTTAAATGATGTATTAACTCTCAAAATACTACATGGCACAAAAATATATATTTTTTCAAGTAGCTAAGTCGGCAAGATGGCTCAGAAGCAGACTCCCTTCTGCTGCACCTGGGGAGGAAGAACCAGCAGCATACCTACAGGCTGGGGAACTCCCTTCTTGTCAGTGAAGAGGCAGAAAAGGATCTTGGAGTCATTACTGATGCCAAAATGAACATGGGCTGACAGTGTGGGAATGTGGTCAGGAAGGCCAACCACACCTTCCACAGATGCATCTCAAGCAGGTCCAAGGAGGTGATCCTCCCCCTCTATGCAGCACTGCTCAGGCCACGGTTGGAATACTGTGTCCAGTTCTGGGTGCCACACTTCAGGAGAGATGTAGACAGCATTGAGAGGGTCTAGAGGAGGGCCACCCACATGATCAGGGGGCAGCAGGGCAGGCCCTATGAGGAGAGGCTAAGGGACCTGAACCTGTTCAGCCTCCACAAGAGAAGGCTGAGGGGGGAATCTAGTGGCCGTTTACAAACAAGTCAGAGGGGACCAGCAGGCATTGGGGGAGTCCCTGTTCCCCCGGGCACTACCAGGAGTGACTAGAAATAACGGTCACAAGCTGGCAGAGGGTAGATTTAGACTAGAAATCAGGAGGCACTACTTCACAGTCAGGGCAGCTAGGAGCTGGAACCAACTTCCAAGCCAAGGGGTGCTGGCTCCTACCCTGGGGGTCTTTAAGAGGAGGCTAGATGAACACCTTGCTGGGGTCATTTGACCCCAGTGCTCTTTTCTGCCATGCCAGGGGGTCAGACTTGATGATCTGTCAAGGTCCCTTCTGACCCTACAAACTATGAAATCACTGTCCCCATCTGATTTGACCGAATCAGAATTAGAGATTCAGCACCAATTTGAATCAGCCAGGGAGAGGCAGGCACAGCTGGGCGGGGGGAAGCCGCAGGAGAAGCCCCCATGGCTACCCTGCCTGGCCCAGCCTCCCAGCCCTTTTATTAAAAAGAGGAAGCCCTGCACTCACCTGCTGCAACTGGGGCCTCTGGGCACTCGTGGCAGAGCCCCTCCCCGCGCAACATGGGGCAGTAGAGGCAGCAGGGATGCCCCCCACCCCCGGCACAGCAGCTCTCACATGGTGTGGGTGCAGCGTGGCTCAGCAAGGCATTGTGTGCTGTCTGGGAGCTAGGGCCGCTGGGGCCAAGTGGTGCTGGGTTCCAGCTGACAGGGGGAGCCGCCCCAGGTCCCGAGACAATGAGCAGCGCCCTGCTGAGCTGCACTGCACCTGCACCATGGCAGCTGCCACGCAGGTGCCAAGCAGGAGCATGGTGATCCCTGCTGCCCCCCACCGCATGGGGGGCACCCAGCAGCCCTTATCGCTGCTACCAGAGCCGGTGACTATAAAAAAAAAAATATAAATAAAAAAATGCCCTAAAGTGCCAGGAGACTGGGCTGGGCATGGGATGGGGCTGGACAGGGCAGCCATGGGGGCTTCTCCCGCAGCTCCTCTGGCTGTGCCTGCCTCAGCCCT